TCCCTTTCGGTCTTCGGAGCGGTAGAGCAAGGTCGTCAAGGAAGAGGATTGTGGTGGTGCGGCCATTATCTCCGCCGTCCACCCCTGCGCCCCTCGCTGAGCTTCCCGCCGCACCATGTTGGGCCAAAGTGTCCGGAGGTTCACCACCTCCGTGGTCCGTCGCAGCCACTACGAGGAGGGCCCGGGAAAGGTGAGTGGGGCCCGGCAGCGAAGGGCAAGGGAGGCCTGGCGCCTCCCGCTTACCGCAGGCCCGGCTTGGAGAGTGAGGGGAGGAAATGGCAGGCAGGTCCGGCGCTCGGAAGCCCGCAGGCCCTCAGCCCACCTCCCCGAGGAAGGTGGGGTCCCCGGGGCCCAGCCGCGGCCCAGCCGCGGCCTCAGCTTGCCAGCCGCCTCCGCCGCAGAGCCGCGAGGCCCGGACGGCTCCAGGGCGTCTCGTTAGTGAGGTCAGACGATGGGTGAAGGTCACTGGGAACAAAGGAGAAGGGGGCCCGTGGCAGTGGATTAGCCACGGAAACCAGCGGTCTTCCTTAGGACAAGCCTCGCTTGAGGGCAGGTGTAGCCTTAGGTGTAAGTAAACCCGGTAGTTAATGGTAACAGCCGCGCAACTCTTAGGCGAGGCCCCGCTGAGGGATGTGGAAGGATGTACGGGGCATGGCTACCTGTGGAAAGGGCAACCTTTGTTCTGCGGTTGATACTGTACTCGGTGGGGAATTTCTAATAACAGTGAACTAGAGTGGTATGTTTGCTTCTAAACTGGCGGCTACTGTGCACGGTAATAATCTTTTTAATTATCAAAAACAGTTAACTTATTTCTTACACTTAACGACTGGTGTTTATTTCATGTTCTGACGAATGCACCTGATTGTTATGTACACGTGTGTACACATGATTGCCCCCCCCCGCCGCCTCTTTTATTGGATGAAATCAAATTCTTTGAAGGACTGTTGCGAGTCTTTTTCTCTTTCCCAACAGAATTTGCCATTTTCGGTGGAAAACAAATGGCGGTTACTGGCGATGATGACTGTGTACTTTGGATCTGGATTCGCTGCTCCCTTCTTCATAGTGAGGCACCAGCTTCTTAAGAAATGAGAATATTTAATTCAACCCTTTAACAGGTAATTAGTAAGCTTCTAATTTTCCTAAAGCAATAATTTCTGTGGTGTACCCTATACACTTACTCATGACACAGTAAATAGATGTGTGCTGATTACTGAAGACACTGATAGTCTGAACACATTCTTCAACAAACTTGTAAGTGATATTAAAACTCCACTGAAGACACAAAGATAAGTTTACTGAGATTCCATAGCTAGTAACAGAGTATAAGATTTCCACATAGGGTAATCTTGCTCTGAATTTCACACTTTGTAAATCAGTCTTGTGTCTTTTACTGAAATAAATGACTCTTATGAAATAAAAATACACTAGGGGCATCCAACCTTAACATAAAAAAAAAAGTATCATCATCTACAGAGTTCACGGAGAAGAACCCCACAATTGGGTTCCTAAATTTCACAAAACAAAACTCAGATTGAGTGAGCTTAGATTTTTGTTGTTGTTGAGCTGCATTTATATCAGCAGTTCTCAACCTGTGGGTTGTGACCCCTTTTGGGGTCAAACAACCCTTTCAAGGGTGTCATCTAAGACCATCAGAAAATACAGACATTTACATTATGATTCAGAGCTGTAGCAAAATTGCAATTATGAAGTGGCAGTGAAAATAATTTTGTGGTTGGGGGTCACCATAACATGAGGAACTGTATTAAAGGGTTGTAGCATTAGGAAGGTGGAGAACCACTGGTTTATACCTATCCTGGAGTACATATGGCCTGTAAGCTGCAAGCCTGCAAAAATCTTTAGGTTCCTTTTAGGGATAGGGTAATGAGAAATGAGATGGTTTCTCTGTAGCCCTATCTGCCCTGGAACTCACTCTAGACCAGTCTGACTTCAAGTGCACTGAGATACACCTGTATGCACATCCTCCAGGTATGTGCCACCACTACCAGGCTACTTTTTTCAGTCTTAATATCTAGGTATGTAATACATTCTATGAAACCCCCAAGAAGGAAAATACTCTGGTGTTTGTGTTCTCTCGATCTAAGATATCTGCTATGGTATTAGTAAATTAACCTGCTAAAGTTAAGAAATTCCCACAGGGCAGGGAACCCTGATTGAGGGAGGGGGACTTGATTGGGGGAGGGGAAGGGGAGGCGGCGGTGGGGAAGAGACAGAAATCTTTAATTAAATAAATAAATAAGAAAGAAATATTGCATTAAGGAAACATATTACTACATCTCCATAGATGTTACATTTATGCATGTGTTTATGCAATGTTTTGATACATGTGATGAAGCAAATCAGTATGAAAAACTCATGATACTGTAAACGCTTTCTGATGTATCAAATTGGTAGAAGATAAGAAACTGCTGTGATGTCTGTCTAGTCAGATGGATTTCTAATACCATTAATTTTGGTTTTATTTTTCAGAATGAAGATTGTTTTAAGAGATTGATCTGAAAACTGGATTAAACTCTTGAACTCTTATTACTAAATAAAATTGTAAATAAATATGTAACGTAAATATTTAATGCCTCTTCTCTGAAATAAGGAATGGGACAGGGATAAGCAGTTGCTGACCGTTATTTCACATGGGCTTATGTTTAGTATAATTTTCACTGAGAAAAATTTAATTGAAAAACTTTAAGTTGACATTAAGAAATGAAAAAGTATTTCCCTAGATACAAGTCAGCAGACATTTTGTAGGTATTCCTCAGACTCCAGAATGTAGGTATTTGGTCAAAACCCAGGATTTGTTTTCAGGACAAGCTTCTGTTGTTTCCATATAATGGTCACTCTGAAGCTGGGCTGGGGTAATATCCTGAAGTTAGAGTACACAGCAGAAGAAATTTGTCTTCGCACAGAGCCATGAATGACCCCAAATCCAGGCCAAATATAATGTTAGCACTGGGCTCCTCCTCCCTCTTCTTAAATTTTAATATAAGTATCAAAACCACTTCCTTGTGATGATCAAGAAAGAATGTGTGGACTGGTATAAGATCAGGGACTAGTGCCTAGCATTCAACATTGAGGGTGTTAAGATTCCTAGAATCCACTTGGCAGCTGTCTTTAAACACAGCTGTGAGAGGCATGGTGAGCAGAACAGTAGATCCCTTAGGCTCATGGGACAGCCAACCTATCTGTATCTTTGAATCTCAAGTTCATTTGAAGATCTGTCCCAACCCCACACCTGCATTTAGCCACACAAGAATGAAGACAGATCTTAAATATGTTTGTAGGTTTTAGTATAGAGTATGATAAACTAAATGAATGTATTGTTGAAGATGGAACTAAAACGGTTCTGTGAGAGATGACTATTTCATCAACTACTCAAGTTCTGCCTGGATTTCAACTTTACCATGTCTAAAGGTGATGTGTAGTTTCATATACTCTATCCTCTTCAGGGGAAGAGTCCTGGAAGAACCATTTAGTCACTTTCCTATCATTTCAGCCTCATGCTGGCACTTTAATTTTTCTGTAAAGTTTGACACTATTAAGGCTATACAATATTTTGTCAATTTGAAATAAAGACTTATTAGTTCATATATTTCATCTATAATCTCTTGAGTGGTAAATAAAAAGCCCAGGGGCTAAAGAGATAGCTCAGTGGTTAAGAGCATTGCCTGCTCTTCCAAAGGTACTGAGTTCAATTTCCAGCAACCACATGGTGGCTCACAACCATCTGTAAAGAGGTCTGGTGCCCTCTTCTGGCCTGCAGATATGCACACAGACAATATTGTATACATAATAAATATTTAAAAAAAAAAAAAGCCCAAAGCACTATTTCTTAAAGGAAACTTGAAGCTTGTGTGTTTCCATGTGCCAGTAAGTAAAACTGAACTGAAACTAAAACAGTAGGGCCTCCCTAGTGTGAATGTATTGAGATAATTCAACTATGCCAACGTGTAATTCGGGCATGCATGTTTTACTGCATCTCCACTTTGCCCAAATTTCACTGATAGAGACAAAGGGTAGGAAATTGTTATTTTAAGAAGAGATCAATTAAGGCTTAAGAGACAGGAGTGTTGTGGGCTCACTGACTAGCCAACCCAACCCGAATGCAATAGAGGACGACTGTCCTTTGACTATATTTATACACTATACATGTGTATACAGACCCCACAATTTTAAAAATGAATCCCCTAGGTATTTCTGTAAATACTGAGAATTATATTTTAGCATACATCAGAATCTTAAATTTTTAACTTATCAGCAAATATTTTATTCTAGTTGTGTATACAAAAGAAACAATACCTGCTTTATATGTTAATCAAATGAAGGATTTTAGAATAACTCAGCTGATTTTTGGATAGACTTCTCAAGTCCATATTTGAATATGGGTTCAAACAACCTGATTGTTACCTGATTTATGTCCTTTGGAGTTTTCATGAATATGTAGAAGCAAACCCTTCTATTTTGACAAAGGAAAATTGAGTGAACACTGATGCTGTTGAAAGGCAATGCATTATCCAACCTCCTGCTCCAGTTAACGTCCCTCCCTTCCTAATAGGTCCCTGAGAGACAATGGTGAGTAGGAGCTTTTTATTAAATGAGTGGAAGGCATGGGAAATGTACATTGTGTTAAGCCTGTGGTGTTTCCATTAAAAAGATCAAATCGACATCTAATTTTGCCACACAAATGTGACAAATAGATTCCCCAAGGCCATTTTCATTTTGAAATAAGTATCTCCAAGATGACAAGATAGTAAGGAAATTTTTTATTTTCGAGGAAAATTTTCTTGAACACTATCTGTGAATTGCATCCAAAATAATGGAGGGTAAATATTTTTTGGTTTTCAAAGTGTTTTTTTTTTTTTTTCAGGTGCAGTTATTAGGAATTGCTACACTCTTTTTGATGGGACTTAATCACTATTGGGTCATTTGTAAAAATTAAATAACCTAGTTTCTGAATCCTGTGACTTCCTAGATTAGCAAGCAATGTATATCTATTTTGTTCTCCGTAGTAATGTTATCTTTGATTTTTTTTTTTTACTATTCCTACAAAAATCACTGTCCATTTCAAATTTTCTCGGATCTAACAAAAGAAGAGTATCAATTATTCAAAGATTTTACAGGATTTTGTGTACTTTAGGATAAGCTTTGTGTGCCTTCTTTGCTGGAATCAAAATGTACGACTATGGTAAATATTAGGCTTCCAGCAAATACATTTAGATAAATGGTGGTAAGGATAAATATTGAGTTCAGGAACACTTCCAAATAGATACCATCCTAAGATGGTCTCAGACTCATTCCCTGTTTCCAAGGAAGAAGCCATAAATTGACAGTTTTATCAGGTTAACATCTTAACCTTAATATTGAGTGTTCCATTTATAATTAGGAATATCATGCTAAGAGCCTTTTCCAGTTTAAATCCATCTAGTTTTAACTGCTATTGTGAGATCTATATCCAATCTCAAGACTGCCTCCAACCAAAGTAATTTCTGTGTGTGAGCACACCTACAAACCTTTTTGGGAAGCAATGGATTTTACCACCACCAGAAACTAATGTGGCTAGTAAACATTCACAGAAATAGAGCCAATTACCAGAAACTAATGTGGCTAGTAAACATTCACAGAAATAGAGCCAATTAGTTTAATATGAGAATCATTGTGTCAGTACCAATTACAGAGTAGAGTATTTTGAAATTCCTATGTAGTACTGTCTCCCTAAACCCCTGCCCTTTGTAAAAAGATCCTTTCTGAGAATAAGATGTGCTTGGAGCAATGGTCAGTTTTGCAGGGTGTGTCACTGTGGGATTTAGTGTTGTTTCCTGCGTCTTAAAAAGGATGTTAGACAAAATGGACAGTTCTATAACCAGGTAAGACACCAACCCAGCCACACAACTTTTGACCTACAATTTGTACTGCCTGCAAACGGTGTTGGGGTAATGGTGGTGCAGAACTTGTGGGAATGGCCAACCAATAACTGGTCCAACTTGAGACAAATGTCACAAGAGGTCATGCTAGACACTGCCTGGATGGTCACCAACCAAAGGCTGGAGAGCCCAAAGACCTAGGATAGAGCCAAACATGATTGGCAATAGATGATAGATAGATACATAGATAGATAGATAGATAGATAGATAGATAGATAGATAGATAGATAGATAGATAGATAGATGATAGATAGATAGGTAGAATTTTAAAAGTCAATGAAATGATTCCTAATAATATTCTGCTTTGAACTAAGACATTTAATTGACCTCCTCTAACTCTCAAATATAGTTTAAAGGGGTATTATAGGATATTAAAGAAAATATCAAATAACAGGTGAAATTCATATAAATATGAAAATAGAATTTAGATTAACATTCATTTCAAATGAGAAACTTTCCCCCAAAAAATACCGTCTATAAACAGCAAAAATAATCTGCAATACAATCTATTCTCTTTTACAGACCCATGTCCTCAAAGAATGTCTGAATTTGATTAAAAAAAAAAAAAAAGAAAGTGGGGAATAGGCTTGAACTCATGGCACAGGAATGGAATTTCTAAATAGGCCACCACCAGTAGCATAGGCATTAGTATCAACAATTAATAAATAGGACTTCATGAAGCTGAAAAACTTCTGTACATCAAAGGACACTGTCACTTGATCAAGTATGGGGACAATCTTTACCAATTATACATCTGACAGAGGATTAGTGTGTACAATATACACAGAACTTAAAAGACTGGACATCATGAAAATGAATAGCCCAGTTATAGAGGCAGGATACAGAACTAAACAGATAATTCTCAAAAGATGAAACATATGACTGAGAAACACTTAACAATGTTCAACATCTTTTGCCATCAGGAAAATGCGAATTAAAACTAAAGTTTTGTTCCATCAAAAGTTAATTAAAAAAAGCAGTCAAAATTAATAAAAAAGCAAATGGTAGCCGATGCTGGGGAGGATGCAGAAAAGGGGGAATACTTACTTATTGCTGTGGGAGTGGAAACCAGTACAACCAGCATGGAAATCAGTGTGGAGATTCCTCAAAAAGTTGAAAATCAATTTACCACAACATTCAACTATTCCACCCTTAGGCATATACCTAAAGTAGTCTACATCTTACAATTATTTTCATTTTTACTCATAGCTGATCTATTCATAATATCCACAAATTGTCAAGAGCCTAGATGTTCATCACTAGATGAGTAGATGAAGATAATATGGAATATTTATACAATGGAATATTTTTTGACTATTAGAAAACAAAATTATCACTACAAAGTGGTGGTGAGCACTTTTAATTCCACCACTCGGGAGGCAGAAGCAAGTGGATCTGTGAGTTCGAGGTCAGCCTGGTCTACAGAGCAAGTTCCAAGACAGCCAAGGAAATTCAGAGAAATATTGCCTCAGGGGGAAAAAAAGGAAGGAGGGAAGGAAAGAAGAGAATATGTATGTAATTCACAAGCAAACAGATAGCGTTTGAAACAATAACTAGACTATCTCAAATCAGAAACCCCTGTGTTCAGTGGGAGACTCTGCCTAAATAAATAAGGTGCAAAGAAGTTGAGGAAGACACCCTA